AGGTAGGGATTTTCTACACTCTAATATGGTTTTTAGCCTAGTTATTTGCTGTTGTGTATAGATGATGAGATTTGGTTGTGATTTGGACAAATCTAGGATTTGGGTATGAAATGAAAAGAGGGGTATTTGATGAATATGAGGTAAATGAGTAAGAGGCTTGAATATAAGATCATGTTGTGCCAAAATAGTTGATTTTAGTGTTTGGGTTGATATTTGAAAAGAGGGAGATTTTGCCCTAATTTTGATTAAATTATTATTTTGTATAAATAATTGGGATTTACATTGAAAATGTGAAATTGGAAGGTTATGGGTATAGATGGTGAAATTAGATATGTATTATCTTACACAATTGGAAGTTGAGAATAAACTATTTATCTTAAGATTGAATATCTGTTTAGAGATAAATATATTAGGCTATCGGTGGAGGATAGCTATGATTGTTGTAGAAATTACATGAGGATTAGGCGATTTAATGCTAATCAAATGTTGGTTGTCATTGGATATGACGATGTTTATAAATACATTGTATATGTATGTTTATTTGGGAGGAGAAAAGAGATGGACTCCGCTGAAAGCAAGTTGGCTGAAGTGTCTTGGGTGAAAGACTCAAAATCATATATATATATATGGGTGCCGATTCCTACGAACAAAATATCTGTAAAATGGCATATTTGAGAAAACATACATGGGTGCCGATTTCCACGGACGAAATATCTATAAAATGGCATATTTGAGAAAATATACATGGGTGCCGATTTCCGCGGACGAAATATCCGTAAAATGGCATATTTGAGAAAATATATATGGGTGCCGATTTCCTTGGACGAAATATCCGTAAAATGACAGATTTGAAGTGTTTATGTGTGTTTTGCATAATTGGAAACCATTGAGTTGTAGTCTTATTTTGGTTGTTGAAAGATAATGAATTTAACTCATGAATTGAGTAGCATATATGAACTTGAAATGAATTGAAAGAAAATGGAAATGAGGCCTGGTCTTAGTGGCATATGAATATGCAGGCCTTGTGGATGTTTTAGTATCGATATTGTTTATGCACGTAGTATTTATACCTTTGCTAAACCTCAAATATTGTGTTAGATTATTTCTACTGGGCTGTTGGCTCACCCTATACGGGAATACCATTTTCAGGTGCAGGTGAGATGTTTCCTTTAAGGCAATAGCAGTGATGAACTGTCGAAAAGCAAGAGCTTCTTAATTATGTCTTGTTGTGTGTATGTTTGTTATTTGTAAAGCTTAGGGCTTAAGATGTAATGAGCGAGACTCACTTCGTGCAACCAAGCAATGACTGGGGAAGATGTAAGCCTATATGACATTTAACTGGTTGTTAAACAGTAAACTCTGATGAATGAAAGTATTGTATTTCTGTTATATTCTTCTGCAGGATAGATAGGCTTACTGTATTGTTTTGGGGGCGTTACACTTTACACTATCATTGGCCTCTTAAACAGCTTGACATAAGCAATGCTTTTCTCCATGGAATCTTGGTTGAGGAAGTTTATATGTTCCGACCTCCTGGTTTTTCCAATCCAGCTTATTCTCATCATCTTTGCAAGCTTCAAAAGGCCCTTTTTGGCCTTAAACAAGCCCCTTGAGCCTTATATTCCACTTTCACTCAGTTTTTGCTTGGACAAGGGTTTGTCAACAGTTATTGTGACAATTCATTGTTCATTAGGAAATCATCTTCCTCCATTACCATTTTGCTTGCTTATGTTGATGACATTCTTCTTATTGGGGGTAATGCTGCTCATATTCAGTCTCTTATTTAGCAAATGCACATTGTCTTTGCCATGGAAGAGCTAGGACCCATTTCCTATTTTTTGGGTATTTCCATCAAGTTAGTTGGTAGCTCTTATGTTCTCTCTCAACAAAAATATGCATCTGAAATTCTTGCCAAAGCTTGTATGAATTCTTGCAAACCTTACAACACTCCTATTGCTGTCAAGCCTTCTACCACTCCTTTAGATTCTCTACATTTTCATTAGCCTGAGCTGTATAGAAGTTTGGTGGGAGCTTTACAATATTTGACTATAACAAGGCCTGATTTGTCTTTGGCTATCAATCAAGTTTGTCAACATATGCATGCTTCATCAGATGGCCATTTTGCTGCTCTAAAACAGATTCTTAGATTTGTTCAAGGTTCTCTTTCACATGGGCTCACATTTCAACCTAGTTCCTTTACTCTCCAGGCTTTTTCTGACTCTAATTAGGCAAGAGATATCTTCGATAGGAAATCTACTTCTAGCTATTGTGTCTTTCTTGGCTTTAATTTGATTTCCTGGTCTGCTAAGAAGCAACCTACTGTCTCCCAGTCCTCTACTGAGGTTGAATACAGATCTTTGGCACATACCACTGCTGAACTTAGTTGGCTACAAATGCTTCTTGTTGACTTAGGCATTGTTATCACTGCTCCACCCATTCTCTGGTGTGATAACAATCCGCTATAGCTCTTGCTTCAAACCCAGTTTTTCACACTCAATCAAAATACATTGAAGTGGATTGTCATTTTATTAGAGACAAGATCTCTGCCATAAAGCTTGTTCTTAAATATATCCCTACGAATGATCAAATTGCTGATATTTTTACAAAGCCCTTATTAACATCCATATTTTCTTCTTTACAGTCCAAGCTTCTGGTCACTACTCTTCCCATCAGCTTGTAGGGGGCTGAAAAGACTAAGCTAGCAACTGCTGCTGCCACAGCTCAAGTTGTAGTCATTCCTAATGAAACAAAGGAAGTTTAGTGTGTATAAATTGTTTAGGTGTGTATTTACTAAGTGTGTGTGAGTTGGTTACATTGTAAAAATATATTTTAGTTAGTTAGAGATATATGGTTAGGCTATTAGGAGAGGTTTGTATAGTCAATTAGGAATCAAGATTGTGTTGTGTATATAAACTCAGTGTGTAATATGTTTTGATTAATAAAAGAGAGGAAGAAAAAATCAGTTCTAGAAATTCATCATATATACATCTAACTATTAGTAAATTTGACTATATACCTTATTTTTAAAAATTTCTATATCCTATACCTAACATAACATATTTTTTCCTTTGGTATATTTTTTAACATTTAGTAGAAAAATTTTAATTTTACATTTCATGTATCTCTTTGTATAGTAAATTAATTTACATAATAATTTTTTTAGTGTTATTTTAAAAAAATTATTGCAAAAATTTTACTCGCATCTCAAGTTTTTCTATTTAAATCTCATGAGTTTTATTGCGTAAAAAATCACCACTTGCACTATCATTTTGAGAGTCTAGAAGGAAAAAAAAAATGCAAATATTTCTTAAAAAAATTATAATATGAATGTATTTTAAATAAAAATTAATGTCTATTTTTTATTTAATAAAAAATAGAATTGCCGTGCACAGCACTGCTGCACTGCTAGTATATTATATAATATAATGATATAATGTGATGATACGATATGATCTCCAATTAAGATTTAGAAACATTGGATTTGGAAAATGATCCCAAGAGGCCAATTCAATGAAGGGGGATTTGGTCATAACCCCTCACTATCTAATTTCTCTTTCAAAAGGATAAGAATTATATAAGTAATTTCAAAACCCTCTGATATTTTAAAACTTGTTTCTTTTACTATATTACCCTCATATCTATTAGCTCTCCTATTAAGACATTTTTACTATGTATTTCAAAGTAAAATTTTACTCTGTATGAAAGTAAAATTTTACTCTGTATAAAAGTAAAATTTTACTATGAATGAGAGTAAAATTTTACACTCTGAAACTAAAAGTAAAAATTTACTCTGTATAAAAGTAAAATTTTACTCTGAAAAATAAGTAAACTGTAAGACTCTGAAGCTAAAAGTAAAATTTTACTCTGTATAAAAGTAAAATTTTACTCTGGTTCTGTCAAATGAAAAAAACAGAGCAATAGAACCAGAGTAAAATACTCTGGTTCTATCAAATGAAATTTGATGTTTACTCTGAAAAATCGATGGAACTTTAAGTTTTGAACTTTGAATCAGGCCTATAATCCTTGAATCAATCGATGTTTACTTTGAAAAACATTGAATCATGCCTATAATTCTTGAATCAGGCCTATAATCTGAAAATTTTAGAGAAATCTCAATTTTTCATATCGCGATTCTTCAGATTTTTCAAATTTTACAGATTTTTCAAATTTTTAAAACTTTGAGCTTTCAAAAATCTATATGTTCGAATTCAAATCTCAAAACACACAAACACACACATATATATAGATATATATATATATATATATATTACAGATCGGAATATATATATATATATATATATATATATTCGAATTCAAATCTCAAAACACACAAACACACACACACACATATATGTATCAGCGCGATTTGCAAGTTCTCCACAGCTCCGGCCATGGAGGAAGCTAGGATTAGAAGAGAGAGACGAGATAGAAGATGAACAGTTAAAGAAGAGTTGAAGGAGGAGAGTTGAGAAGATGCAGAGAGAGATCGTCGGAGCTTAGGAATGACACAGCTCCGGCCATGGAGGAAACTAGGGTTAGAAGTGAGAGACGAGAGAGAAGATAAATTTTGTATCTGGATTGTGTATATGTGAGGGTATAATAGTCTGATAAAATATTTAAATAATAAATTTTGTCCTTTATGCAAGATTTTATAATTATGAGAGGGTTTAGAAAGTATAATTTTTTTCTTAATCCTTCTAATAATGAAAGGAAGGTAAAAGAAGTTTATAGTGATTTTTAAAATGATAACGGAGACATTGATGTTCTTTCATTTTAAAAAATAATAAATGTCTCTGCATCGCCCATTCCAATTACCTATACGTTATCAAATGAAAAGACACAATGTATGTATTTCCATTTGAGAGTCGTCCAAGTACGCTGGCACTCAATAATTGATCATTTTACCCATTCATATTCCCAATATTGATCTCCAAAGTCTAAATATGTATATATACAAACAGCCATTCGGTTAGTGTCCCTGCACAGTCAAGTTAACAGCCATGTCATCCTCCAAGGTGAGCTTGAAGCTACTCATTGACACAAAGGCCCACAAGGTCCTCTTTGCAGAAGCTGGAAAAGACTTTGTGGACTTCCTTTTCAACCTTCTTTCTCTTCCTGTTGGGACTGTAGTCAGGCTCCTTACCAAGACCAGCATGATTGGCAGCCTTGGAAATCTCTATGAAAGCGTTGAAAATCTGAATGAAACTTACATGCAATCTAACCAGAGGAAAGAGACTCTGTTGAAACCCCAAGCACCATTAAGTTCGGCACAAGTTGCCCTTCTGTTGACCGATGAAGTCTCTACTGTTAAGAAAGTGTACAAGTGTGGAAGCTGTCATCGATACATTGCTGATGAACCCCGAGCCATTTGTCCCCATTGCAAGGACACTATGTCCACTCAGGTGAAATGGGTTAAACCCAAGGTGGATAACAATGCTTCGTCTAGTGAGGGCGGTGGCTATGTGAAAGGTGTGGTGACGTATATGATCAAGGATGATTTGGCGGTGACGCCCATGTCTACCATTTCTGGTATTACAATGCTCAACAAGTGCAACATTACGAATGTTAGTGCTCTAGAGGAGAAGGTTGTAACTTTTGGAATGGCTGAGGTATGTCAAAAAAAAATTTAGGTATTGAAATATTCCCGATTGCATATGTTATTGGTGTAATAGTTGAAAATTTCAAAATTTTACTTACAGAAAACTTATCTTGATAATGGATTCAAAATGTTGTAACGATTTTAAAATTTTAAGCTTTTTTTATGGGTATTTTATTTAAATGGATAGTCCAAGGTTATCCACAGATCTTTCTGGTAAAAAAATCTTGTACTATATTTTTTTTTTTTTGTGTTCGATGTACTAATATATTTATTTTTATTTTGGTTAGGGTTTGAAATTGCTGAAAGCATCTCTGCAATCAAAGGAAGTTTTAACTAGTATCTTCCTTGACAAGAAGGTGGCAAAGAGAGTGTAGGTTCATATAATTGGAGCCTACAATCATATTAAAAAGCTAAACACAGTTTTTCTTGTTATGTTTAATGGTAGGGCTTGAAATTGTTGAAAGACGTATGAATCTGCAGTTTGGTTAGTTCAACTTTTAAGCAGGCTGCATTTTTGTGAATGACTTGCTATCAAAACATTCTGATCGCCTGATATGGGCTGGAAAAGAAAAGGAAATGCTATTAGACAACCTGTGTTTTCTCTTGCTCTATTTGGTTAAGCTGGGAAGAAAAGAAAATATATTGATTTCTCCGTAATTTTGTTTAGACAGAACACATGAAAAAAAAAATTTTTTTTGAAAAAAAAAAAAAAAGGTAAATAGACTTAGACATATATACTAAAATAATATTTTACGTTTTTATTTCTTTAACACTAATGGACGATTTTAATATTATACAAAATTAGTAATTATCTCATTTCTTTTTACTCTCAAATCTCTTTAATTTTGGAGAAATTTAAAACGTGAGTTGTAAGAGAAATCAGCAACTCTCTATTTATTTTCATTTCTCTTATTTGTAATAATCCAAACAAATAATTAAGAAATTGGTTTACTTTTTTTTGTTGTTTTTCCCCTCCAAAATTGCTCAATCCAAATGAACTGTTAAACTTGCATTGTCTTTGCAATTTCATCAATCACAATGTCATTAAATGTCAATGTCCACTGATATTTTTTTTATTTTTTACTGGACTTCTTTTCAAGTTTACATATGTATTCATTTTGAAGGACCTTCAACGTATATTATTCATTTAATCTAATAATCATAATTTTTTATTTTATTGTATTTTTCTTTAAAAAAAATAGACAATAATATGGTTTTTTGAAATTTGCGATCTATTTTTTTATTTTATTTTTAAGAACACAATCAAATGAGAAGATTTTAATTATTGAATCAACCTAAATTTTTTCATGCATGATTTACATTGAGCGTCCTACAAAATAAATGGATTTGATCATAAAAATGAGACCAGTGGTAGGCCTCACAAACCCCATCAAATTCTTTCTTATTGAGATATAAACATGAAATGAACCTAACCCTTGTAGAAATTCTGCTAAGCGTTTCTCAGCCTTGGTAAATTGGTGACGAAGAGATTCTCAACAGAAAACTACTTATGATTGGAAAATAGAATATAAAATGCTAGATACTTCAAAAAAAATTTCTAAAATTTCTACGTCATATTCGTATGAGTATGATACCCACAGTATAATAGAATAATAGATCACAGTAGACTTATATGGTAGGTAAAATTATGTATGAACTTAATTTCTCCCGGGTCCATAAACAAAAATTATTTTAAGAAACTTCTATTCATATAAAATTTCATATAAAAAACATCACACGTACAGTGTGGTATATTTTTATACATAAAACTCATAATAACTAAGACAATAAATTAAAATATTAAATAATCTAATTACTGTTGCAAAAGATATCTCTTCCCCCTTGAACTATTCATATGATTACATCAATGTCTTAATACATTATCAAAAGAGCAATAGTTCAAAACACGAGATAATACAAAATAAATCCTCTAAGAGCTTACATCTTTTCAAGAATTTTCCTTGATTACACAAAAGATGGAAATCTAACTCCACACAAAAATAACTCAAGGCTTTAGCACATAACACAAAAATGAGTCTTTGCACTCCCATCCAAAACTTCTTCATGCCAATCACTCCAATAGCACATTCCATCAATACTTTGCTAAGAAATCAAGCCCAAGTGTTTGGAACTTCCCCCATAGAAGAGAGTTGTATACATGGGAATTGGCTGAAGAAGATAAATTGATTGCTATCTTATCCTCAGCTCCTCCTCTGTGTTTGGATTCTGTAGACTGCCAGGCCTGGTCTATTGCTTTTGCGGGTCAGTTCTCTGCCTCTGCTCTTTATTCTCACAATTCTTCTCTTCTAGGCCCTTACCTAAGAATCTGTAAATATGTTTGGAGTTCTGTATTGCCCCCTAGAGTCTCATTCTTCTGTTGGCTGGCCTAGAAAAACAAGATTAAATGTTTAGATTTTTTGCTCAGGATTGGTATTCTTAACAACAATGCCTTGTCCCTCTGCCACTTCTGCAATTTTGAATTGGAATCCGCTTCTCATGTGCTGCTCCATTGCCCCTTTTCTCGGTCAATTTGGTCTGCAATGATTGAAGAATGGGGATTCTATTGGTGCATTCCTAAATTAGTTGATGGTCTGCTTATTTCGTGGATGAGTGGTAAATTTCAAAAGCTTGATAGGTCAATTTGGAGAGCCATCCCCTTAATTGTTCTTTGGTCTCTTTGGAAGCATAGAAATGAATGTGTATTTTCTAACGCACAATCCAACTCATCTGCTTTACGTGAACTCATTAAATTCAGATTTGCCCTCTGGCTCAAAGCTTCTATTAAGAATTTCCCCTACACAGTCGATTATCTTGTCTTCAAATGGAGACAGATCATGGGTAGTACTTGATACTCTAGTTATTATTGAGATTGCTATTGCCCTCCTTCTTCTTTTCTCCTTTGTGGTTGGAACTTGCTCAGGATCTGTTGCTATATGTATTTTCTATCTATTGTTGTTTGCTGCTGTTAGATTTTGCTGCTTACATTCTGGTGTTTGATCAGAGGTGCTACTGGGTGTACTGTGGTTCTTGTGCTGTGTAGTCTTAGTTGCTACTTAATCTTGGTTCTATCTATTAGTCTACTATGATCTGCGGGTTGTTTTGTTGCTCTATTTGCTGGTTTCTTTTCTTTTCTTGCTTTTGCTTGTTTGTTGGTTTCTCACCAATTAGGAGGTTGGAGCTTGATCTAGCTCCAAGCTCCTCTTTATTGATGTATTTTATCGTACTTTATATGTGTTTCATCAATAAAGTTTTCTTTGCTGATAAAAAAAAAAACATCATCTCTTGAAAGGTTATTAGTTTTGGGGTGAGCAATCACCCAGTAGAAAGTACCATTAACAAATTATATAATTAATAGAAATACATATGATCAATGTTATCCAAAGGATGAGAAAAACTCATGTCCGTTCCTTTGTAAAAACCATGAATCCAAATCAAACAGTGTCCATAAGCAATGCTCATCCAAATCGTGGGTTATAAATATGCTACGACATCCAGATACAAGAGTCGTAAACCATAAATGCACACACACACACACAAATATATATATATATATATATATATAATAATCCCACAATTGCTGACTACAGAAACGGCGAGGCGTTGGGCACCCAAGACTTTACTCTTTCACATTTGACGACTCCAAAAACGGCAGGCTCATGGACACCCAAAATCATGTTTTCCACATTCACCGACTTTAAAAACGACAAGCTCGTGGACATCCTAAAACCTTTCCTACATTTACCTGGTGATATGCACAAGACAAGGCAATTGGACACCTTGACTCCTCTCATAGGTACTAATATACATAACACAACTCAAAACAAAACCCAACTCATAACATGGATTCATACGCTATTTATCTCGTTCCAATATATTTCAATCAGTGACAATTCCATGCCATAAGTATAATTAATGAATGCATATGATGCATGAGTTTACAAATTTCAATTCCTTTAAGGTAGTTTCAATTCACAACAATCCAACAATTTTAAACATCTTCAATTGAAGTAATTCTCCAAGTCATATCCATCATCATCTCAAAATTTTGTAATAAAAGTTCCCAACATTTCATGTTTCAACATAAAAATCAAGTCAATATACTCAATTTCATGATTAGAAGGCTACTTGAACCGAATCCCCTTTATTGAGTAAATTTAAAAGCTAGGGTATTACGAAAATTGGGGATTTTTCCTTTTTAAAACATTTAAAGGTCAATTCTCATCACCCATAATATAAGTATCAACACTAACATAAATCTTCAAGAAATTCATAAAAATGACCATCTTTTTAACCAAACCCATTAGAAAAACACACCAATCCTCATATTTGTAGATATCCATACAGATATAATGAAAATACCATATATGTATCTCAAATCAAAGATATAATGAGTTAAAATTACATCTACCTCAAGATTGAAGACAAGAAGTTGAAGACCCAACTCTAAATTCCAAAATAGCGGCAAACAATCGGTAGATCCTTTGAATAAAGCTTGCTCTTCAGCTCCTTAGGAAGATCTATGATGGATCTTGGTAAAAATCAAGAGGAATCAAGTGTTTTAGGGCTAGGATTTTGGAAGTGGGTGCTAGAGACAGAAAAGGTATGGAAAAAGTGAAAGAAGAAGTGTTTAGATCAACTTTTAAATGTGCAATCCGGAGCAGACCTCTCGACCGAACTTTTCAACGCTCGAGCGAAGTGTTCAAATCAAAAATACAGCTTGAGTCACCTACCCACCGATCGAGTATAAGTTTTGCAGAGCTACAATGAAATTACTAAGAGTCTCATTTCTAAGCTCGAGCGACCACTTCACCGCTCGAGTGATCTCGCATGCAAACATATAAGATATTGAAAGCTCTGCATTTCTGCTCGAGCGACCGATTAACCGTTTGAGCGGTCACCCAGAATGGATTGTTACATGCATGTTTTGTTTTAAAGTAAATGGTCTACATTGAGTCACATAATTTCGTACGAATTTCTTGTGTTATTTTAACTCCACCAATATTCCTCATCTCTCTCTTCTCTGTCGCGCTTTAAGTTCGTTGTTAAATTGTATGTAGTATTGTCACAACTTTAAATTTGTTGTTAAATTGTATGTAGTATTTTTTACCCTGTAATAATGTGTTATTTTAAAAAAAAAAATCTATGTAGTTTAAGTTTGTTTTTAAGTTGTATGTCGTATTGTCACAATTTTACCTGTAATAACATGACATGTGTGTTAATTTTTAAAAATAAATTCTGTGTAGTTCAAATTTAACTACCATCTTAACATGAATTTTATAATAGTACAACATATTTAAAATTAAAAAATAAAAGGTGAATACTAGAAATTTACAATTTAAGTTCTACAATAATTGAGTTTGTGACAAATTAAAAA